GGTGGTGGGAGAGAGGCTTCCCTCGCCTGTGTATGAGTCAAGAACTCAATAACAACAAGTTCACCGTCCTGGACGTCTAGCGGACCCCGGAGGGGGAGAGTGCGAAGATCTCTCTGGGTGAATGCAACCTCGAAGCCTAGGGGGCACCTGAGACCGAACCTATCCAGAAGGCCTTGGTGGTCAAGGATGTTATGGGGCGCCCAAGCCCAGCTGAACCCAAGCAGCATGGGTCTAAGATCCAGGATTACAATAGGGTCACGGTGCATGTGGTAGGTGTGTCCTGAAGGGAGGATGTGCGCAACAACCAAAGCCTTAGTGAGACACCCAACGTGCATATGATCCGTGGCCCCTGGGGCCGCCGGGCGCAGTAGGAGCTGGCTCGGGGTGCATCCGAAGCGCTCAGCCAAGTCCTGGCGGACAAGGTGGCGGCGGCCGCGTCTGACAGGGAACCCGAAGTGAAGCTCATCCGACAGAATCCATGCGGTATCGTTGAAGTTACCTGGATAGGCTGCATCAGGGCGCCAGCCCTCCGCATGTTGGAGCATATCCGCTAAACTTGCAGTAGTAAACACTCCATGGTCTGCTGGCAGGATAAGCACCAAATCCGCCAGAGCAGGCTGGAGGACTGTGTCCTCACGCATGGGCCAGGGAGTGTCATTGTGATAGATGTGCACTGGGGCATCATCCGGTAATCCGGCGAGACGAAGTGCGTCCCGTCTCCGGAACTGAGGCGGTGCCGCGACCGCGAAAAGCCTGTTGTCGACTCGGCTGTCGACGCAGAGGAACACGGTTGGCACATCCCACACAGGAGCCGCAATCAACACGCCGCGCTCCGGGAAAGTTTGTGTTGGGACTGGGAGCAATCGCGGAAAGCGGCGCTTGGCATTAGGTGACCGAGCAGCGGAAACAATTGCTAGAACACCATGAACCGTCTGAGGCAACCTGGTGCGGACCCTGACTAACTCGGGCAAGTATTCTGGCAGAAGAACAAGAAACGATAGTTCTGTGAACGCATCGGCTGCTGCACTTCCCGCAGTGCCCGGCTCTCCATCAAGAACAGCGCTCCCCGGGTGGGCGTTTGCATTTGGGCCCGTGGAGGGACCAGCACGATGGCCAGTGGAGGATGGCTGAGCTGTGCTTGCTGGGGGCGTGTTGAGGGTGTGTCTGTCCGCCTCGATGTCACCAACAGGCAAAAGGGGAGTCTGCGGGGACTCAACTTGCTGTGCAGCCCTTGCACTGGATGAGGAGACATCCTGATCACCTGGCGCTTGTGGCGGCGGATCGGGTGCGGGGGGTCCATCAGAGCTTTCATGGGCGGCTGTCTCGATCACAAGGACTTGTCCCGGTTCGACTTGGAAGAAGGGCACCCCTAAGGGAACATCCGGTATCCAGAGCTCCCGGCCCAAGGGCACCAAGCCTTGTAGACTAGCGAACACAGCGGGAATGTCTAGCCAATGGCCTGGTGCTGTGGCCGAGCGCCAGCCGGCGTGGATGGCTCGACAATCAAGGATCACCTGGGGGTCTCGTTCTCTGTGTTGGGTAGCTGTGACCTGAGCTGCTGCCATTACAGCTCTGCATGGCATGCCTTCCAGAACTGCGTCGCCAACCCTCGGCCTAGCAGGGTAAAGGGCAAGTCTAGCAAGACTAATGCCTAAGGCGTTTGCAAGGTGTTGGCGGTATAAGGTCGGACGGGCCACATCATGCATGAACAGAATGTGCTGATCGGCACAGGCTACACAGTAGGCCACCCTCTCCGGGGTTGGCATGTCAAAGCCTTGAGACCACAGGCTGGGTCGTTGGAACATGGTGCCAATGTCTCTTGGAAAGGGGAGCCTCGCCTGGGGTGCCTTAACCAAGAGAGTGTGTCCATGGCAGACATGCATAGCTTCATCCCCGAGGGGCGTGTCCACAGCAAGTCCCAGAAAGAGCTCAACAGCTTCTGTGTCCGGAACGTCAAGCAGGACTAGTGCCGTGGCGCGGTTGAGGTAGTGCGGGGCATGGATGGCAAAGTGTCGTCCGTCCCATCTGGTTGCATCAACAAAGAGAGTCGGCCTGTCCTCGTGCCAGGGAGGGCTGGCGACGAAAATGCCCGCCCCTGTCAGCGTCTGTGGCATAACTGGGGCCAGGGTGGGAAAGCGCCGGTCTCGGCCGGGCTCTCTCTCTGCCTTAATAAGCTGGGTGCCTTCAGGCACGGTAGAAGGGAACGGAAAGGCAATAGTGAGCCATTCTGGTGTGTACAATGGAGTGTAAACCAGGACTGTGGCCCATGCAATCGAATCAGCATCGGATGCCCCGGATTCAGTGGGTGTGTCGTCATGCTCAAAGACATCATCGTCATCCGGTAATGGCCATGCATCTCCGAAGTCTCTGGTAACACGCCGCAGAGCCGAGACACGAACATGATCTGCATAGTTGTTACACGGGAGGGGAACAAGCTGCTTGCAGGTGCGGGGGCTTATCCTAATCCCAAAGTGCACTCTAGACCGGAGAAGACTCGCAGCAACCTGGATGAGAATGAGACCAAAGAGCCCAAAACCTAGTACAAGCCAACCACCTAGCCCAAGAAAGCTGAATCCCTCAAAGGCTAGCCGAGTGCATGCCCCTAAGCAATGAGGATTGCTTGTAGGGGGCAGAAAGGGCTGCCGTCTGTTGCACGAGGGCCGAAAGGCCAGCTGTGATGACAAGGGCGGCGGGGGGTGGAGTGGCAGATGTTGCGGCTGCTGGCCTAGGCTGATCGGGGCTGCGTCGCCTGGAGCGACTACGGGACCGAGTTGCTGAGCGAAGGAACCTAGGGTCATCATCAAACAGGTGTTCCCTATCTGAATCAGCGGGGGCTGTTGTTGTGTCTGGGTCACCTGAACCTTCACTATCGCTATCCTCCTCGGCGGTGGTAGGAGAGAAGGTATCGGGAGGCTGGTCCGGGTCATCATTGAACTCAAATCCGAAGATAAGAGTGCAGCCCTGTCTGACATCAAGTCTATCCCGGCGCATACGGCCTCCCTCTATGCGTAGGAACCAGCTCGGTGGAGGACGCCTACCTACAAGCCCTGGCAGGTCAGTCTTCGGGATGTAGGGGCGGTCAAGGACTAAAAACTTAATCCCTGAGGCAACCTGCCGGAGGTCAAGAAAGATGACGTACTGCGGCATGTCTGGGGGCAGGATATCACGCTCCACGAAGGCAAGAACGCCGCGAATCCCCATCCCTTGGTGAACAAGCTGATCACAACCTGCGTTAGGAGTGTGTATGTCCACGGAATCGCGCTCGACACCGATGAATCTAGCTGCCATTTCGTCAAGCGGGGTGTCGCTTGCTTGTGGGCGAAAAAGGTATCTGCCTCGCTGGTTCAAAAGCAAGAGAGAGCGTAGCTGTGGCGGTGGTGGCAGAGGTGGGTGTCGGCCACATGTCTGCAAAATGTAGTCGATACTGAATATCCGTAGCGAAATTGGGAAGAGTGTCGTCTGGCCGGAAGGAGACTACACACCCATTGGCTAGGGAAATGGCTTCCTCATGCTCCAAAGGAGCACTTTCAGTTCCCACGTACACAGAGCATGGACGGAATCCGAAAGCACCTGCCTGACGGCATAATTCGGCTTTACATGTTGGCCTTGTGACATACGCTGCAACCAGGGGCCCAGAGCCCAGAGGGCTCATGTCACGCAAGTCGAGGCATATGGCGGAGAGCGCCGAAAAGGCAGTCCACGAGGGAATCGCGAGAAGTGTCGCACATCCTGGTACTGGTTGTGGGCGGGCTGGCTGAATCCTGTCGCAAAACTTAAGATCGAGATGTGCCACCTCACGTTCAGCCACATCAAGAAAGTCTTCAACATCACAGGGCATGCCCAACGGAAACCTTAGCACATGCGGCAGATGGCCTGGGGAGAGGATCATAGCAGTGCATTGCACGTCGTGAGTGCGCACGGGAACAGTCTGCCTGGGGAGAGCAGGGAGCTCCAAACGGACCGGAAGTGGAGGGGGGGGGTCCGCGAGGCGGTATGATTGCAGGATGAATGATGTCTGGGGTACGGGCTCGCGGAAGTCCAGCACCATCCTCCAACGGATCTGGAGGCTCTGGATAGACACGGCCGGCGTCAGTTGTCGGGCCAGCAGGTGGTATAGCGAATGAGTCAGGTAGCTCTTTAGGCGCACTCCAAACACAGACTGGCAGGTTCATCAGCAGGAGGGGCCAAATAAGCTTGCCGATCCTAGAGAAGCTATAACCGGGTGCCCGGGTGGTATTGCGGCATGGTATTTTGAGCCTAGCCTTGCCGGGAGGGCCAACACGGCCAATGGTACCTAAGCATAAAAGAATGCTGAAGAGAGGGGCAGCTCCTGAGTCAGCAGATAGCCGATCACGGCGGCAGGCTCTCACACCCATAGCCTTGGCTAAAGCTAGGCACAGGGTGCAGAGGAAGATCCCTGCTACTGAATGACATACAGCGATTGCTTGATTCTGGAGTCCGCTGATCAAGGCTGAGAGAAGCCCAAAATGTAGAACTGCAAGAAAGCTCCCCTTCTCCAAGGTAGTCATCCCAGAGCCACCGATATGACTTTTTGGCACCTGGAGAGAGAAGGGAGCAGAGGGATCCCAGGACATGAGTGCTCCTAGAGAACCCGGGAGGGCCAAAGGGCCTAAACCACTAGGAACCCGATGGGGGGAAGGGGTCTGCTTGGGCGACGTGATGGCACACAGGCTCAACGCGAAGGTAGCAGCCAAAAAACCAGGCGCATTGACCCGCGGAGCAAAATGGCGGGGCCTCGAAGCGGAATACCCAAGACCAAGGTACCCGAATCTCGGCAGAGGAGACCAGAAAGTCCCAGGAAGGGATGCTGCAAACCCAACAGCATGCCATCCGTGGACTATCAGCAAGGAGGGGGGCGGCCCTGCACGAGGTAGCATGGACCGAGAATGCAAAAACGCCCATTCCGACAGGGAAGCAGCCCAGAGCACGGAACACACAGCTAAAAGATGCCCGTCTCAGGAAAATCAGACTGCAGCAGCCTAGGTAGCTGTGAAACCGTTCAGCTCCACAGGAACGCTCAGACTCACACCAACCAAGATAGCATTGACCGAGGGGTACATAGCCATGCAGCAACCCACGCCCGAGCGGGGTCCCTGAGGCGTCCGGACTCCACAGTCTGCCAGCTCGGTGGTGTAAGACGAGACTCTCCTGAGAGCTCAACCTACCATGTAGGTCACAGACTACTCTGCGTTGCCAGAACCCGGCAGCCGCCCGGCTGTCAGTCTCGCAATCTCCTCTGCTGAGAGCTCGTGTGCCAGGTCGGCATCGTCTTCGTCGTCGTCCAGAAAGTTCGACATCTCCGGAGGCAGCTGAGGATGAAGAGCCTGAGGGATGCCGAAGGGATGCATGGCACGTCCCACCGGATTCTGCTCGGCAGCGGCGCGCTGTCTCTTCTCTTGGAGTCTCTCCGACAGCTGTGAGTGCTGAGCTTCCGGAGGCTTGGGAGCCATGGTGGCTTCTTTGATGCCCATGCGCGGGGGAGCTGTCGAGGTAGGGACCCTGGGCTCTTCCATAACCCTCTGTCCCGGGTGGTGGCCAGGAGGCTTCGGGATTTGGGGGCTCAAGCCCGGTGGCTGCCCAGCAGAAGCAGTATTCACCATGGGCGGTGAGGGTGCAGCTTGCAGGTGGTAAGGATCGTGACGGGCGAAAGCCTCGACCCCCTGATGTGCATCCATCCCGGCGGTCCGCGGTGCACTGCTCTGTGGCTCGGTCCGGGGAGATCTGGGAGCCGTGGTAGGAGGCCTCGTAGGTGTACAGGCGGGTTGAGAGGACCTCAAGGCACGTGCAAGTATACCCTGCCAGTCCGACTGTACATCCCCAGCTCTGGCAAAGAGGTCTGCTGTCTCGGCATCGACAAGCTCGGTCTCCATCACTACAGGGCGCGCCTGCCTGGCGTCCACAAGATGCACCTCCCGCAAGCCTTGACACGCCTGGTCTTGGGCTGCTTCCGCCTCGCGCAAGTCGCTGGCGAGCTTCTGCATTTTCTGCTTGTACCGGAGCTTCTCTCGCGCAAAGGCCTCGAGAGCGGATTTCTCGTACTGAGCCCACTGTTGCTCCATCTTTTTCCTCGCACCTTCCATGCGCGCAACTTTCTGCTCCGCGCGCCTGGCATGGTTGAGGGCCTGCTGGAAGACATTCAAGTACTCTCCAGGGCCATATTCCTTGGGCTCGGCCGCGGGCGGAGGCGGGGCATTGCTGTAGCCTCCTGCGTCGAAAGCCGGGAAGGTAGGTGTCGTTCCTTCCCAACCTGAGTAGTCCTTCCACGCCTTGGGGTTCCGCCCACTTGGCGAAGAGTACGCTCCACGCCACAAGGAATATGCGGAAGGATTGCGTCCTTGGCCGTCCCATGACTCCTTGGACTTGTTCTTATCCCTGCGGCCCATAACAAGGGCACACGCAAGCGCTCTCCTCTCAGTCGCGCCGGTAGCGTGATGCAGAAGGAGCAAAGCCGTTTGCCTCGCGGTAAGGTGCCGGCCAGAGGCTCTCAGCTTCCTTACCTTTGAGCGGGCCGCCCTTGCCCGACGATGCCAAGAGGGCGAAGATAACTTCGCAATGGCAGCGGGGAGAAAAGGGGGCCGGCTATCGTGCGCTTTGCGCACTGGGGCTCTCTATTCCGACTGGCGGCGATTCGAGCCCTCTCATGGAACCGGTGGTCACGCGCACGTCCCCAAAGCCTTGATTTGTCCCAAGGTAAAAGAGACGGCAAGCTTAAGCCTTCACCTCCTGCAAACTCTGGGCTCTGCCAGGATATGTGCTACCGTTCCATGGGTATCTTGGCATCACAATCGAAGCCTTCTGGGAGGCTCTAGGACGGAACGCGAGAAACCCAGAACATAGACACAGACATAGCGGAGGGTTCGGCATTAGAGGCCGCTATTGCAAAGCAAGGTCCTCACCCACCCTGAACTCAGGCAACTGTTCGCTTGCCTATTCATGCGCGGTGGGCCTCTGGTGCTTCATCGAGCGACCGCTTATGACCCTGACGACTGCAGGACGGCTTGGAGCGGTCCTGGCGCACCCTGAAAGCCCGACGCCAAAAACCATCCAACAGCCCGTGAACTCCTTGGTGGTGCCGCTTTGTCCGTTCTGAGGGTTGCCGGATCGAGATGGTCAGCTGAAGTAGTGTAGATAGTCAGATTGCCCCTCGTGGTCCCGAGAACCGTGATTTGATAGACCTCGGCTGCTCAGGAATGTCTTGTTTCCAAGTACTACTGCCCGAGCCTCTTATGTCCGGTCTGGTACATTGGTACTACTATTATTACTATTATTATGACTAATATTACTATAATTATGACTAATATGACTATAATTATGACTAATATTACTATAATTACTATAATTACTATAACTACAGATCCCACACATGTTCGCAGGACTGCGCAAGCCCCGCGCCGCGACCGGCGACCGGAAGGGCTCTGCATCCTCGCCGCTGGTGGAGAACGGGGCGCCCCGTGCTTGGGAAGTGATTCAATGGCCGTTGAGAATGATGGTTTTGACGTTCATGACATATGATGACTTTGGGACTTTGGTTAGTGAAACACGACAATTTACTGGGCTTGTGCGATACACAAGCTGGAGTTGCTGTAGCATGAGTCGCAGATTGTACTTACCAGGTGGATCTTTGCTTTTGTGCTCTGCACGCGCTTACCACGAATTCGCTTTTGGAAAGCCGGCGCGACCACCACGACCACCACGAAACCGCTACCGGAACCACACCACCGCGACCATTGCGAGACAGCCAGGACCGCCGCTACCACCGCGAGCAGCGCCCTCGCGACGGCCGCGACCGCCAAAACGACCACGACAACCACGACCACCCCGACCACGAAAACTACGAAAGCCACGACGAAACCGATGCCGCCGAAAGGAGGAGGAAGACGACGATAACGACGACACGACGACAAAGGCTTCTACTTGGCTCATGCTGCCACTGTTGATGTGTTGACGTTTGAGACTGTTTGATGATTTGATAATGATGTTGATGTGGTCGCCCACTGGCAGAATGAGAACTTTCGCTTGGCCGAATGTTGAACCAAGTTTCGTCGGTTCAGCCTGCATGACGGATCTGGGTTTCTGCATGATGAGTTTCTGGCCGCCTGCTGCGTGGACCTCGACCACCAAACCTGACTAGTTCTGAGTCGCTCCAAACTGAAGATCTCGGACTCTTAGGGCTTAGGGTTAGGGTTCGTCGTGCAGGCCACGCCATCAAGCCCTGAAAGCCAGCCGACGACTCGGAGAGCTTGAGTGCTTTGCCTTTGGCATTCCACTTGCATTCGTTCTTTGAAGTTAAGTAAGTTAAGTGGCTAACCCCTACTGGCCAGACCTGAAGCCGGTTTGGCTCAAGAATCACAAAACCTTGCAAGCCTTGCCGTCGTGACACTCCCCAGCTCCATCATGGCTGCCGAAAGCGCGCCGGTGATGGAAGGTGCGGCATCAGAGCAGGTGCTACCGGTCCTTCTGGGACGCAAGCCCGAGGCTGATGTGGAGATGGGCAAGGTCGGAGCCCAGGACGCGAAAGCTGGCACAGTGAAGGCACGCCAAGAGAGCGCCAGCCTCCTCACAAACTTGAAGTGCTGCGAGAAGATCGTTTTGGGCTTCGGAGTTTTGTTCGCCCTGGCTCAGGGAGTTTCAACGCCAGCCATTGCTATGTTCACGGCAGACAGCATCCAAACACTCACGATCGCGGGGACGGACACGGAGCACATGCTAGACAGCATGGCCCCAACTCTCTTTAAAATCGGTGTCCTTGCAGCCGTGCAGTTCCTTTTCGCCTTCGGATGGCAAACCTGCCTGGCATGGGCCGCAGCGAAGCAGGCACTTCGTTGGCACCGGGGCTTCCTCGAGGTCTTGTTCTGCTTGGATGTAAGCTGGTATGACGAGCACGAACCGGCAGGCGTGGCTGCCCGACTGGAGACCGACATCGCAAATGTCTACATGTTCATGTCCACAGCGCTCGGGTACCTCATCTCGAGTGTTGGCCAGTTCGTCGCGGGCTTGTCCCTGGCCTTCGCTACTGGCTGGCAGCTGTCGTTGGTCGTATGTGCAACGATTCCAATCCTCGTGTGCCTGGGGCATCGCATGGGCAAGGCAATCGAGCAGCAGTTCTACCTCCAGCAGGCTGATTTTGCCCGAGCATCCGCTGTGGCGGAGGAGTCCCTGATGGCCATCCGCACCGTAGCTGCCTTCGGCGCTGAGGCAGCGGAGTCAGCCCGCTTCGAGAAGGAGCTTTTGTCGGCGAAGATCGGTGGAATTCGCTCCGGAGTGAAAATCGGCGGGGCTTGGGGTGGCTTGAACTTCTTCTATTCCTGCCTCTATGGCCTCTCGCTTTGGTTCGGTGGCCACGTGCTCCTCTCGGACGAGAATGCCGGTTTCGATCCTAGCGACATCGTGACCGTGATGATCGCCATGATGGTGGGCGTGTCAGGGCTCAGCTCCTTCAGCGGTTTTGCACCGATGATGGCCAAAGCCTACGTCTCGGCCAAGGCCATGAAGGAGGTGATGACTGCGGACGCGCGCACCATCGAGCAGCCGCTCTACACGCAGGAGCCGCTCCCAGAAGATCTGAGCACCGTGGAGACCTTGGAGTTTCGGAACGTGAGCTTCCGATACCCGACGAGGCAGGACAAGTGGGTCCTGAGCAACTTCAACTTCCGGGTTTCCAACGGACAAAAGATCGCCTTCGCCGGCGAGAGTGGGTGCGGGAAGAGCACCACGATCCAGCTCCTGGAGCGCTTCTATGATCCAGGAGCTGGCGAGGTCTTGGTGAATGGGATCAACCTGAGCCAGGTGCCCGTGAAGGCCTGGCGCAAGCTGATCGGCTACGTTGGGCAGGAGCCGGTTCTCTTCGCTACCAGCGTCATGTCCAACCTGAAGGCTGGGGACCAGTCCATCAGCGATGAGCAAGTTTATGAGGCGGCGAAGGCAGCGCAGATCTATGACACCCTGATCAAACTGCCGGAGGGCTTCGACACTTTCGTCGGATCTGGAGGTGGGATGCTGTCGGGAGGCCAGCGCCAGCGTGTTGCGATTGCTCGCGCCTTGGCCAAGAATCCGCAGATCCTCTTGCTGGACGAGGCCACCTCGGCCTTGGACAACGAGTCCGAACGCCTGGTGCAGGCGACCTTGGACGGCCTAAGCTCTGTGATGGGCCGAAGCATCACCACCATCTCCATCGCGCATAGGCTCACCACCATCAAGGGCTCGGACATGATCTACGTGCTCAAGAACGGCTGTTGCTGCGAGCAGGGTTCCCATGAAGAGCTCATGGAGAAGCAGGGCGAGTACTACAGCATGGCCAAGTTGCAGCAGGCACACGCTGAGGAGCCCGAGGAGGAGACTGCGACCATGACGCCGGCGCCGGTTCCACGCGTTGGCACGCGGAGGTTCGGCATGCAGAAGTCGATGTCGATGCTGCGCCGCAGCGGGTCAGTGCTGAGCTTTTTGGAGGGGGCCTTCGACATGATGGATGAGGACGTACGAGCAGCACCCCGAATCTGGGGCAGACTCTTTGGGCTCATGAGGCTTTACTGGTGGGTCTGGCCGATTGCCTTCCTGATCATCGTGGCAGAGGCAGCCGGCGCGCCTCTTGAGGCTATTTTCTTCAACAGCGCCATTATGTCGCTCTTCGAAAGCGTCACGGAGGGCCTGGATGCCATGTACCCCAAACTGGACCAGGCGGTGCTGTGCCTGCTGCTCGTCGGTTTGGGATCGGGCGTGGCGACGCTGTGTCAGAATGCCCTGTTTACTTACCTGCAGGAGTGCTTGTGTATGATCCTGCGACAGATGGCCTTTGCCTCAACCATCAAGATGGATATGGCCTTCTTTGATGCCCCGGAGAACCAGACGGGGAGCATCCTGGTGTCTTTGGAAAGGCACATGAATCGCGTTGGGCAGATGCTGGGCATTCAGCTTGGCAACTCCACTGGCGCCATCTTTACCTGCCTCATCAGCATCGGCCTGAGCTTCTTCGGATCCTGGGTGTTGGCCTTGATTCTCCTCGCCCTGATGCCCATCTGTGGCGTTCTGGGCTTGGCCGTAGCCGGCTGCGCCGCGAAGGTGGAGCAAAAGGGGGAGGATGCCTACGGCAAGGCGGGGAAGGAGACGGCCGAAGCAGCGACGGCCATTCGAACCGTGAGGGCACTGGGAGCGGAGGAGCACACCTTGGAAATCATCCAGGAGTCCTTGGACGTCCTGACCGAGGTGAACACGACGAAGTCCTGGAAGCTTGGCTTATCCCTGGGCTTGAACATGTGCATGATCCAGGTCATCTACCTCGCAGGATTTGGGATGAGTGCCGCCTGCATTCAATATTGGAACTTCGATGCCCATGAGGTGCTTCTGACCCTCTTCTGCGTCGTCTTCGGTGTGATGTCAGTGAGTTCCA